CAGACGGAAAAAGTTGAAAATCACATGATATCACTTATAAGTGGGATATAAACCTAAAAGCAACAAATGAACTGGACAAACAAACGAGACTCATGGACATGGACTACAGACTAGTGGTTACCAGAGGGTAGAGGGTCGGGGAGGAAGGATAGATGGTTAAAGGGGGTTAAATATAGGGGTGTAGAGGGAGGGTGAAGTGGGTAAAGGGGATCAAATATATGGTAGCTGAAGGAAACTAGACTTTGGGTGGTAAACACACAATAGAATATACAGATGTCAAATTATAATATACAGCTGAAAATTATATAATTGTATTAACCGATGTTACCCAGATAAACTTAAAAAAAAAAAAAGAATATTAACAAATTTTTTGGTCTCTAGATGACAAGTCCTGAATTTCTGTTAGGGAATTATACTCATCAAATAAACCCTCAAAAAATGTAAGTAAATGCAAATTACAATAAGAGAAGTTTCCATTTATCAAACTGGGAAGGATAAAAAATATTAAAATGCTCAGTGTTGGTAAAGGTATAGGAAACTAGCATTTATATACTCTGCTGGTGAGACTATAATTTGGTAAAAAACTTTTTGATAGTAAGTACCAATGGCTTGAAAGATATGCATGCCCTATGATGTACAAATTCCACTGTTAATAATTTACACTAAGGAATTAAGGATTTGGAAAAAGACTTAATAGCAAGAATGTTTATTTAAGCACTGTTATTAATAGCATTAAGTTGGAAATAGTTGACATGTCTAAAAGTAGAGATTAATTATCACACATCTCCAGGATGTTTCTATTACATAAAAATTATAATAAGTATGGTATAATCTCATATTTGTAAAATAAATATGTCTATATGTAGAAAAGATTTTGGAAGCTGTTAACAATTGGTTCTTCTGGATGGGTGGACTGTATGTGATTTTTTTTGCTTGTCAATATTTTCTAAGTTTTCTATAAAGACCATTCATTGCAGTCATAATTTTAAACATCCAACCTTCTTTTTTAAATTGAAACAGGAAACTAGGGCTATTATAGCTACTGTTGAATCATCCTTCTCAGTTGTTTTTTTAACCATGCCATGCATTCCTCATTCTACAATATACATTAGATTTTGCTTGGCTTTTATGCTGTGCAATCTGGCTGAGGTAGCAGTTTAATTGCTATGGCAACAAGAATTGAAAGAAATCTTAGATATCATTTAGTCTAGTCCTTTTCATTTTACAAAATAAGGAACTCGAGGGAGATCCAAGAGATTGAGAGATTTACTTAAGGTCATAAGGTTAGTTTTATAGCAACCCTAGTCCGATCTCCAGATTCCTGGTCTATTTATTCTCAAAAAATTGGCTTCATACTTATATCAATGACCCTGGCTGCTAAGCTGGCTTTGAAAAGGGTACAGTAGCTCTGCCAACAGGAAAACCCAAGAGATATCATAAGTCAGTTAAGCAAAAACCTAGTTGCTCTTATAACACAAAAATGAATTACCAAGTGTCAGAGGAAACAGGAAAAATATAACAAGAGAACACAGAGGGCCTTCCATGTCCTTTTGGAGTATACAGATTTGGAAACAAAGAGATTCTGTGATTCATTCACAAGTGCCTCACGTTAATGACTACTACTGCTGTATATGTTGATTAACTGCAATATATGCCCTTAGGTAACAAAATAGTTGATATATTAATGGTAGATTGCCAGCTTTTAAGAAGATAATTACATAGCTTTTCATATATTTATTTTCTTCTATGCATAAACAAAGAATCTGAATAACATATCAGTAGTTCTCAAAATATCATCTGTAATCCTTGGGGTATGAGGTATAGGGAGGTGTCCTTGAGACTATTCCAAGGTTAAAAGTACTTCATAAGAATACTATGACATTATTTACCATTTTTACTTAGGTGACATTTGCACTGCTGATGAAAAACAATGGTAAATAAAATTGTTGGCACCTTACAACAAATTGAGGCAGTGGCACCAAACTGCCCTAAAAGCCATTATATTGTTCACTGACACTCCCTCATGCTAAAAATAACGCTGATTTCATTTTAGAATGTCCTTGATGAAATAGTAAAAATGATTAATTTTATTAAATCTCAATCACTGAATACATATGTGTGACAAAGCATGCATAAAGCACTTCCGCTTTCTGAGTACAATGGTTTTCCAGAGGATTTGGTTGTCCAAATCAAAAGCACTTGTGCAACTGAATTGTGAGCCGAATAGCTGCTTTTTTTTCATGGAATGCTATTTGTACTTGCAAAAAACGACTGACAAACTATGGTTATTCAGGCTTCAGTGTTTGGCAGAAATTCTCTCAAAAATGTTAACAAAGTGAATCTGTCACTTTGAAGAAAACAACTGATAGTATTTGTTACCAATGATAAAATTTGAGCTTTCAAATGAAAATTAGAATTTTGAAAAATTGAATATGTCACTTTGAACTTGCCAGCATCCTAATACTTGAGGACTTTTATGATGATGGATGATGCTAATAAAGGAATATGATTGTTTGATATTATATAGCGGAATGTGTCAAAATTAGGAAGAACTGTTTTACACAGTGAACCACTATTTTCTAAATGACCATATTTGATATTATAAAATTATGCATGAGTAGCAAACCCATTCACAGTGTAAGACAGACCCATGGATTTTAACATAACGGAGTAATGAAAGTCCATATATAGTTTCATATTCCACATTGCAACTAACCTTTAAAAAATTACTACTTGTCAAACTTCAGTGGGCTATCAAAGAATATCCATGATTATCTAAGAAAAGCTACTAAAACATTCCTTTTTCCAACCACATATAAATGAAAAGTAGGATTTTCGTTATCTCTTGTCAAAACAAAACAAAGCAATACATTAAATGCAGAAGCAGATGTAAGAATCCAGCTGTCTTCCATTAAGTCACACATTTGTTTTGAAAAGTGCAAACTAGTGCCACTCGTAGGATGCTTCTTATAAAAAAGAAACAAACAAACAAAAACCCAGAAAACAAGTGCTGGTGAAGATGTGGAGAAACTGGAATCTTTGTGCATTGCTGCTGGGAATGCAAAATGGCATAGCTTCTGTGAAACGGTATAGTGTTTCCTCAAAAAATTAAACAAACAATTATCGTATGATCTAGTAATTCCACTTCTAGGTATATATCCCAAAGAATTGAAAGTAGAAACTCAAAAGATATGTGCACACCAATGATCACAGCAGCATTATTCAAAATAGCCAAAATGTGAAAATAACCCAAATGTCCATGGACAGATGAATGGACAAACAAAATGTGGTATATATATACAATGGAATATTATTCAGCATTAAAAAGGAAATTCTGACATATGACCCTTAAAAACATTATGTTAAGTGAAATAAACCAGTCAAAAAAGAGCAAATAGTGTATGAGGCACTTAAAAATAGTCAAAACCCTAGAGACAAAAAGAATACTGGTTACCAGGGACTAGGAGATAATGAGAAGTTACTGTTTAATGGGTATAGAATTTCAGTATGGGATGATGAAAGAGTTCTGGAGAGACATAGTGGTAATGATTGCACAACAAGGTACTTAATATTAGCGATGTGCACTTAAAAATGATTAAAATGGTAAATATTATGTTATGTATATTTTAACACAATTTTTAAAAAGCTAAAAAAGAAAACCCACAATGCCACTCTTCTCATTTTGGGGGGAAGAGTTTTGAAAAATAGTTATTTTTCATTAAAAATTTTATTTATCCATGCAGTGAGTCTATTACTATTTTTAAAATAAACTAATAAATACTTAAAAAATCTCCTACTTTTCATTTCAAATATGGGAAATATAGAAAGATATAACTCTTAAAGAGAAGCTCTTGGTCCTGAGTAAGTTTTGAGAAGTAAAGTGGTCCCGAGACAAAAGTTTGAGAAATTTATTCTTTTCTCCAACTACATTATCTTCATTTGTTGGTATAGCTTCATTTGACAGCTATACCACTTGAAGCCTTCAGACTAAAAGGACAGCTTGAAATACGGTCTTTACATTAACTCTTTACCATGACTATTGTCCACTGGGTGCACCTTAATTATAAGGGCTGAGCAACACAAAGCTCCACACAGATAAGTGGCAATGTACAAGATAAAACTGCTAAAAACCTAAATGCCGATATGTCCCAAAGTAGTTTTATAAGTATCTTCTTAGAAAGAAACACACATTTCCTTTTTTCTGTTGGATCTTCATTCAGACTTACAGTTCAAGGCTAGATGTGGGAATGGAGGTGGTAGCGGCATTGTTTCTGAAAAACCACTCCATTTAGTGGATCTGTGCAAAGAATTTAATTCTCTCACCGTCTTGCTACTGGTCTGTTGCAGAGGGTGGGGTTAAGAAGCTAGGAAGCAATCCAAAAGATCATCTGAGGCTGCCCCAAACCGTGTCCAAGCAATCATTTCCTCCATTTTGGGCCAAGTCAATTTGCCCCGACAGAGGCTGAATGTTTACGGGGAAAAGGTAAATAAAAAGGATGTTAGAAAGCATGGACGGAAATCAGCAAAACCACAGCGGTTTTACCTTGTGTGGATGCTAAATGATTAGTATGCTATGTGTGTGAGGGGCAAACGAGAATTGTTATTCCAGAGTACAGCTGTGGCACTTTTAATGACGGATCTGCAGTTCTGGATGGGAGCGAAAGACAAACGATTTTCTTATCTGGACCCTCTTTCTACATTCCTCTTGGGCAGGGCCTGTGACCAGTCTCGCTCACTGCAGCTGAGGCAGTTCCAAACAAAGGGGAATGGATGCCCTCCAGAGGGAGCGGAGGAGGGAAAGGGGGGCCCGCAGGTTCCCGCGCCAGGTATCCCTCAGGGTAGTAGACCCTGCATGTCGCCAGGAGGGAGAGTCCCAGGAGCGTCTTAGGGGTGTGGTCGGGAGCGCTGGGCCGGGGCGCTGGGCCGGGGCGCACGGCACAGCCGCGGCAGAAGACCCCGCCCTGCCCACGGTCAAGGTTAACACGCGCGTGGGGAGGTACCTGTGCAGGCCTCGCACAGCCGAAAGGCACTGGGTGATCATGGGAGAGCCGAGAGGCGGCAGCGGCGGGCGCGTTGTCCTCGGGTTTGGGGGAGGCGGAGGCGGGGCGCCAGCGAGCCGTGAGGCAGCCTAGCCCAGGAGGGAACAGCAGCTGCGGCGGCGGTGGCGGTGGAGGAAGCAGCGGGTCCAGCCAGCGACCTCCCACGTGCGACGGCCACACGCCTGCTTCTACTTCAGCCCCGCCCCTCTCCCCGCCCCTCGCGTCCTGCACCGCCCCTGGGGCGGTTCCGGCGAGACCCAGCTACCGAGAGTAGAGCGCCCAGCCGGGTGGGCTGAGGGACAGCGGTGGCCTGGAGGCCGAGGAAGTTCGGGCCACCGCTGGCCGTACTGCGATCGGGAACCAGGCTCAAGCCCTGAGGACCAGGGGACGAGAGGTTCCGTTTACCGACACCCGCGCCGCGGGCCCGCTGCCACCGTCTTGAGTCCTCTTGCCTGGTAAGGGGCTTCTGTCTGGGAAGGGTGCATGCATCTCCTGCCGCCTCCAATGGGGCCTGCACCACGCACCCTCAGCAGTACCCGTCAGGGCGGAGGCGAGGCCCGGGTACCGAAGTGGGGAAGGAGGAGGTCGATGTGCTCTGGGTGCGGAGCTAAGGGGAGAAGCGTAGAGGAGGTTGGACATCTCCATTTCCCCTCTGCCTCCCCTTTTCCCCCATTTTTTTTTTTTTTCAGCTTCTGCCTGGGGCCTTATTTAATACTTGCGACCCCATGGCTTAGAGGCTGGGCTTGCCTTTAAAATAAACACATAAATAGTAAACATCCTAGTGGTGGATACCACACCCAGGCTTTGAATTAGGGAATCTGGGGAGCAGATGGATGATGCGATTTAGTGGAAATAAGCCATTAATGCCTGCTGGCCCTGCGCCACTGTTTGGATGCGATAGTATTCCATGTGAATGAACATGACCGGGAGCTTCCAGCGTGTCATCGAGAGCACCTCTACTGCAGAGAGCACTGGTCGGTTTATAGTGTCCATCGATTTAGGCAGTGATTTCCTGACATGTCTGATGATTAAATAGAAATGCCGTTTTTATTAAGAATGACACTGGTCGAACAACCTTTCGTTAATATATTTACTCATCAAATAACTGTCTCAGCCTGCAAAAGTAGGTGGAATTTAAACTACGCATACATTTAAAAAAATCTCATGAAATAGAGGAAGATGCTCAGTGTAGATAGATCAGCTTCTGAGTCAGCAGTATGAAATCTCCTTCAATTTCTTACTGAGGCCTTTTGGGGATTTCTATATCTGTATCTATAACCCTATCCTTATCTCTATCTGCACACTGTTAAGATAAAGTGAGATTTTCAGTGAGAGTCTAAGCTTATGTTGTACATGTTTTAAGAAAATTTTTACTTTCGCAAGTTTTAATATAATCTAAGACTACTGGGTATAAATGAAAATATGTAATACATTACCATAAGAACACTTTGTGCTCTCCTAATTCTAAAAATAGAAAGACATGAAGGTAATTGAGGTTTTAGTTTTTGCTTTCCCCTAAAAAATTTTTTTGATTAAATTTATTGGGGTGACAATTGGTTAATAAGATTATGTAATTTTTAAGTATATAATATTTATAATACATCATGTATGTATTGCATTGTGTGCTCATCACCCAAAGTTTAGTTCCTTCCATCACCATATTTTTGACCCTCTTTACCTTCTTCAACCTCCCCCTACCCTTAATTTTAATGTAATTTATAACCTTTCTGACCTATTCTTTAAAATAACTTAGTTCAGTGTTTCTCTTTCTCTTATCCAGGAAAAGTGGTTAAGCTTTTAAAATGTCATCTGTAAAGCACCTAGTTTATGCAGTTATTCGTTTCTTACGGGAGCAGAGTCAGATGGATGCTTATACTTCAGATGAACAAGAAAGTTTGGAAGGTAGGTACCTGGTCTTTTGTTCATTTGTGTTATAATTATAAATAAAGACTAAAATAGTTATAAGTCTGATTTTGTGATCTATTATAACAAAATCAAAAATTTTTTTTCATCTTTCAAGAAGAGAGACTTAACTATAAGGTATCATGTTTCCATTCTCTGAGGCTTGTTTTGTTTGTTTCAATTAACAACAATATAAGAGGACTATTGTTCATTTATTGAACAGCTATTATGTATTAGAACTATGCTATTCATATTGTAGGGAGATTTTTCTTCATAGTGAATGTTGTTAGTATTATCCCCATTTAGCAGATAAGTAAGTGAAACCAGATTAATGAACAGAGCTGAGATTTAAATCCTGATTTTTATTTGAAGATCTTGTTTCTTCTTCCTAACAGGAAGGCATCCAGTTGAGAATCAATATATGAAAATACCTTAGTCATCATAAAAGTACTATGTAAAAGTCTAATAATTATATCACTATTAAGCTCTGACTACCTCCTATTTGGGGACTTAAAATAGGATTTCACCCTTGTCTTATGTGGGCTATACCTAATAGATTCGGTAATCTGTAAAGTTGAGCAGAAGTTGGATGATAGATAGCATCATGTGTTTCATTGACACCATCTTTTCTGCTTTGAGATCATGCATTATAAAATTTACATTCATTATAACCCCAGCAAGATAGAATTCTGTAGATGCACTTGTGGTGGTTCAGTGAGCCTACCTTCCTTATGGCCTAAAGACTTCATTATTGCAATGAAAGAGAGCATTTGGGAGAAATTAATAAATAATAGTACAATTTGAATTTCCCATCTTAAAGTTGTTTCTCCTATAAAGAGGACACATCTATTAATTTCAACAAGCACAACCTTTGTGAATATGCTTTTAGGAAGGAGGGATGAAAGTTGGACATTTGCTCTAAAACTGCTTCTAATCTAGTGGCAGTGAGAGAAGCAGGCGACACACAGTTGGAGAAGATTCTAATCAGTCTATTTAATATTAGGTCTTTTGTTCTGCTTAATGGTTAGACTATGTGAAAGTAAAAGTGACTGGTTATTTAAGGAGGATGTTCGTTATGGCTGCTCTGTAGCAAACTGATAAATGCAATCATTTAATAAAAGATGTTTCTTTTCTAATCAAAGACAGTATTATACTTTTAAGGGCCAGAAGGAAAATTCAGAGATTTTTAAAAACCAAGATGTTATGTCCTATATTTAGAATGGTATTCAGCCAAAAATATGTGCTTTCAGCTGTTTGTTATATATGGCATGCAGAAATGGTGCCAATTGTTTTTGACCAATCCCTATTTTTGACTCTGTGAGTCTAATTTTATTGACTATGAAATCATGTGGAGATGTCTGCCCACCTTCTAGACATTTAAAAAAGCCTTAGAAAATGAGTCTAAGTTCTAGTACCAGCTTCACTACTATGATGAGCTGAGATATTATCAGCTTTGAGCCTTCTCCTTAGTCACTCACTCCTAATTGTTATACTGACAACTACTTCATGTTTTGACTATTGTGGCTCCTGCTCACTGTCACACTCTCTAGCACTACTCCTGTCTTAATTCTTAGCAATTGCAAAATACTCATAGATGATTCTTCCAGTTCCCTTGGCTCTCAGTTTCTTGAACTTCTTTCCTCAGTGATTTCAGCCATTCACTCCCTTGGTCAGACCCTAGACCAGTGGTTCTCAACTCAGAGTGATTTTGCAATGTCTGGAGACATTTTTGATTGTCACAGCTAGGGGGCTGGTATTACTAGCATCGAGTAGTTTGAGGCCATATATGCTGCTAAACATACTACAATGCACAGGACGGCCCTCAACAACAAAAAATGAGCTAGTCCAAAATGTCAGTAGTGCCGAGGCTGAGAAACTCTTGCCTAGACCTTGTCATTATACAAACTGCACTGTCTCCGTAATCTCTATCTTAAATGTTTCACTTCCTGACCACTCTTGCCAGTCTTTCCAGCTCATGCCCTTTAGAATCCCTCCTTGACCAATTCCACCCTACTAATACCTCCGATCTCTTGACTCCTTACCTTTTCACATCCCTCTCCATACCCAGTTTAAATTCCATGGTCAGACATTATAATTACACCCTTGTATACCCCTCCCTTTCTTGCAAAACCCAACCTTATTTAAATCCAGTTCTTCATTTACAGTTTGCCTCTATCCATGTAAATATGTATGTAGATGGAGCAAAACACGTACTTTCTTGTCTGGTCCCACTTTAAATTCATGACTGACCATAAGCCTCACGGGGACCTTTAATGCTGTCTGGCAATCACATTCTCTGTTATAAGGTCATACTTTTGCTCTCCTAGATGACCACTTTAACACTTTCTCATGTCATCTCAAATCCCAAATCTCCTTCCTTGTACTCACTTTTAGATGAATGCCTTGCTGCCTGCTGCACCAAGGAAATCGAAGTAATAAGAAAACAACTTCCACAGACTCTCTCTGCCCCATCTACCCACCTACCAGCATCGATACTCACATACTGTGCCTGCCTGTCTGCCTAACTATTATCATGTGCTATGGACTAGATATTCGCATTCTCCCCAAACTCATACATTAAAATCTAATGCCCAGTGTGATGGTATTAGGAGGTGGGCCCTCATGATTGTGATTGGTTACCTTATAAAGGAAGTACCAGAGAGCTCCTTCACTCTTTCTACCATATGAGGGGTCACCGGGAGAAGGTGCCATCTGTGAACCAGAAAATGGATCCTCGCCAGACATCAAACCTGCTGGCACCTTGAGCTAGGACTTCCCAGACTCCAGAAATATGAGAAATAAATTTCTGTTGTTTATAAGCCACCCAGGCTATGGCATTCTGTTATAGCAGCCCAAACAGACAAAGATACCATAGATGAACTACCATTGTCCTTTCTAAATGGAACCCTTCTACTGGCACGCTGGATCCTATCATGTCATACCTACTTCAGGGTATAACTCTGGTTATTCTACCCTCATCTTATATCAGCAAATTTTCACTTTCAATGGATCATTCCCATCACAATATATACTTTATATTATTTCTCGCTTCTTAAAATAAGCAACAACAAATACTTGATATTCGCATTCTCCCCAAACTCATATGTTAAAGTCTAATGCCCAGTGTGATGGTATTAGGAGGTGAGCCCTCATGATTGTGATTGGTTGCCTTATAAAGGAAGTACCAGAGAGCTCCTTCACTCCTTCTACCATATGAGGGGTCACAGGGAGAAGGTGCCATCTCTCCACCTGTATTGTTCTTATCAAGGTCATCAGTCATTTCTGTGTTATTTATTAATGGTCAGTTCTCAGTCTTCATCTGATCAGCTACCATCGATAAAGTTGCTGATTGCTCTCTCATCCTTTCCCCCCTTATATACTTTATTCATTTGGCTTCCAGGATACCGCATACGCTCATGGTTTTCTTCTTATCTCATCATTTGCTCCTTCTCTGTCTCCTTTGCTGGTTTCTCTTTTCCCTGACTCAGAGTGCCCAGGGTCCAGTGCTTAATCTTCTTCTCTTCATGATCTACACTTACTTTTTTTTGGTGATATCATTCAGCTTCATGGCCTTAAATGTCCTTTATTTATATGCTGACATCTCTCAAATGTATACTTTCAGCCCAGGCATTTCTTCTGAACTCCAGACTTCTATATCTAACTGCCTACTAGATATCTCCACCTGTATGTCTCATAGGCACCTCATATTCAACATTTCCAAAACCCAAATCCTGATCCTCCCACCCAAACTCTGTTCTGTCCACAACTGCCCTATCTCAGTTGATGGTAACTCTATCTTTTCAGTTGCTCAGGCCCAAAACTTTCACATCGTTCTGGACTCTTCTCTTTCTCTCAGACTCTGCATGTAGTTGTTCAGTAAATCTTGTCGGCTGTACCTCTAAAATATGTATAGAGTTTGACCACTTCTTCCCACCTCCACTGATATCACCCCTGGATAGAACTAAATATTTCTCATCTGTTTTACTGCGATAGCCTCTAACTGGTCTCTCTGCTGCTATCTTTGCCACTTTGTTGACTATTCTCAACACAGCCACCAGTGATCTTTTCAGAGTATGTCAGATTCTGTCATTTCTCTGCTTAAAATCTTGCAGTGACTCTTCATGTTACTTATTCATTGTATAAAGACTCTATATAATTTGGACTTCTGTGATTTATAGTTCACAGACTCTCTTTCACTTTCTCAGCATGCACCAAATTCTCTTTCCTATGGGCTTTTACTCTAGTTGTTTTCTCTGCCAGAATGTTCTTCTTCCAGATAATGGAAATACTCCCATCTCCTTCAGGTCTTTGTCAAATCTCTTTTCTGAGTGAGGCATACCCTGAACACTCTATTTAATTGCAGCCTGCTTCCCTGCTCTACTCCCCACAATTCCATCCTCCTTGCCCTGTTCTACTTGTTTATTGTTTATAGTCTACCTCTCCATCCTCCACTAGAATGTCAGCCCCAAAGGTCAGAGACTTTTTTTGTTATATTCACTGGTGTGTCCGAAGTATCTAGAAAAGTATCCAATACATGGTAGGTGCCCAATAAATATTGAATTGATGAATTGAATCAAGTGATTCTGTGCATATCACTTAGTTGGTCTGTATCTTAGTTTCTAAGTTTATTGGGTGGAGCTATGTGCCTTCTCTCCATCTAAGGGATTTGTTAAGAGAATTAGAATCAGCGATAGCAGGTACATACATATGAAAACTTTTGAATAATGTATTATACAGATAGGACATGGTATTATTGAAGAGATTCTTCACTTGTCCTCGTCAGTATCAAATGGACATATTATTTAGTGTTAAAGTAGAACAGTAATTATATATACTATTTCTTTGGATTTTTATGACTTATTCCTGAGTATAGACTCATGAAAGGAGGATCAAATGTGATAATCCCTGTTTCATAAATCATAATCTTGAGGTAAAAATAAGATAAATTATTGCACTCAGGCTTTTAAATTTTTTTTTGTGTGTGTGGCTGGATTATTAATAATGATAATGAGATAATCTTGAGTTCCAAGGCTGTGGTGGCTTTGCTCACTAAACCATATGTGTCTCTAAACATGAGTTACTGAGGAAGAATAAACATTTTGGCAACTAGGTTTACTTATCGAAAAATTGTGTTTACTTATATGTAGAATCTAAAATAGTCAAACTCATTGAAGCAGAGAATAGAATGGTGGTTGCCGGGGCTGGAGAGAAGAGGAAATGGGGAGGTGATGGTCAAAGGGCACAAAGTTTCAATTATGCAATATAAATAAATTCTGGAGACCAACTATTCAGCACAGTGCCTATAGCTAACAATTTTGTGTTATATAGCTAAATTTTGTTGAGAGGTTAGGTCTTATGTTAAGTGTTCTTATCTACTGCTCCCCCACACAATAAAAAAGAGGCGAGTAGAAACTTTGGGAGGTGATGGATGTCTTTGGCCATGGTTTCATGGATGCATACTTATCCCCAAATTCATTGAGTTGTATACATTAAATATGTACAGCTTTTTATTGATTAACCATACTTTAGTAAAGTGGTTTTTAACAAATCCCAAGCAATTGTGTTTAAAATAAAACAAAACAGCCATCTCCTTTAATGATACTTAATTGTGTTGAGTGTGTGCCATGTCTGTGTTCTAAGGTTAGTGGCAGCAGAAATAAAGTAGTTGGATTGGATTGCTCAGCAAGATAGAATAGAAAAATCTCTCACAGTCACCATATGAACTCTTCACCATAAGTGTTTAGCTTATGGTGTTTAGTAGGTGTTCCATTGGTGTTTAGTCATACTCTGGTTTTGATTAAGGGCCTGGTTGGGTTCTATCCATCTTTCATGTGGCTGTGAATGACTGTTTTTTTGGAATACTCTGGTTTTCATTATGTCATACTGAAATGTCATACTCTGGTTTTGATTAAGGGCCTGGTTGGGTTCTATCCATCTTTCATGTGGCTGTGAATGACTGTTTTTTTGGAGAGAATTATTCCACAGATTTTATTGTTTTTATTTCTTCTGAAATTAAATTATTACTTACGCTGTAAACAAAGAAGTAGATTAAATGTATTGAGCATCTACTATTTGCCAGACTATTAAAGTCAAAGATGAATAAGATGTAGGCTTTATATTCAAGGAGACAGTCTAATGTGGGAGACAGAAATTTAAGTGCATATAATATAGTATGATAAGTACAATAATGGAAACATATATGCTACATGGCACAGGAAAGGAAATAACTAATCTGATATGGGAAGAAAGATGTTAATCAAGAATAAATATATAGCTCTCTATGTATACATTATTTATTATTATTATTGTTATTGTAATTAACTAAATGTTATTGTAATTAACTAAATTAACTAAATTGTCTAAATGGCAATAAGACCCTATTTTCTTGTGGCCCAATATTTTTAATGCAAGTACAACTGAAGTATAAGAACAACTGCTTGGCAGGAATAGAAAGGGAGAGAATGAAGGATAAGTAAACAGATTATTTTCTATCTAAAAGACTCTGACTTTTTGCAGTTGGTAACTTAGTTGCTTATGCAGTTCTTTTTTTCTGAGAATTGTTGTGTGGATAGTAAAAGTAATAATGTTTCTTCTATGACAGATAATTTTCTCAGTGCCACAATTAATACATAATATATCTGTTAAAAGACATACACACATGTAAGTGAATATGCAACACTATCTGGAAGTGCACTGGAGATTTTGGCTACATTCTCATCTTGTGGAGCAAGGAGAGAATTCTTTTTCAAACAAGAGCACTACATGACCCTGCCTCTGTTCTCCTCAATGGGTTCTTATAGAGAGGACGAGACATGCTTTCTTCACTGTTATCACCCTAGTTCAGACTCTTTGTTTGTTTAGATCATTTAAATAGGAACCCGCTGGTTTTCCGCTTCCATTTTCTCCCTCAGCTTCCTTCCCTCTCTAATCCTACCAGACTTTTTAGTTCTGAACACAAATCCAGTTATGTTATCCTCCTAAACTAAATTCTCTAATGGCTCTCCATTTGCCCATTGCATAAATTCACATCTTTAAATAATGTTATTTAAGGTGCCTTGTTATCTACCTACAGACCTCCTTTCTAGCATAATCTCCCATGTGTCTTCTCACCCAGTCTATATCCTAGCCATACAAATGTAGATGAGGCACCTATCACCACTTAACATGATAGGTATTTTACTTACTGTGTTTGCCTCCTTCTATTAAATGTAAGCTTATATTTAGTTATTAAATGGATAGTGATTTTGTCTGTTAACTGTTTGTATCTCTACTACCTTAGAATAGCACCTTGCACATGGGTACCTGGTAAATTTGCATGAATGAATTTTTAAAAGTCAACCTATCTTCACATAAGTAAGTATACCAGGATTAATATTTAGTGCTTCCTATGTGCCAGAGATTGTTTCTATTACCATTTTTAATCATGTTGAGAATTCTATTTCTCACATTAAAAATAAAAGATAAATATTTTTTAGTTTTATTCCAGGCATTAGGACATTGGTGGTTAATCAAATTGGTACTGGGGAGTAAGTTGCTCTCAGTGACTTTCTTCAACAAGAACATGATGTAATGTAATATATATATTAAGAAATTATATTCTCGGTAACATTTTTCTTTAAGTGAGGAATAAGAAATCAAGTTGTCTTCCCTCAATAGCTGGTCTATAAACAGAAATCTCCATTCAGCTGAACCATTTGGTTTTCTAGTCTGTGATCATAAATGCTGAATTACCACAGATTGCAAGAGTACAGATTTCTACCAAAAAAAAAAAATGTTTCAATTTTTAGGTTGCTAATTTTTTTTTCACTATTAAAATTTATTTCAAGTTGCAATTCAGTGCTTGGAGACGGTTTTTAAAATCAGCCCAGAAGATACACATCTAGCTGTTTCACAGCCTCTAACAGAAATGTTCACAAATTCCTTCTGTAAGGTAAGCTGTCATTGTTTTCTCATTATTGTCTGATTTAAGAATCACTATGATAGTATGTTGGATTGTTAATATTTGAGGGGCTAGGCCTATAAGTAACTAATTTCTTTCTGGGTATAAGGCAAATAGTTCATGTGGATATATGATTTGGGACCGAAAGTATAACTCTTTTAATGTGCTTAGGATTTCCGTATTAGTAGCTATTCTCGTCCTCTCACCTTCTTTTATATAAGTTTTAACAGTTAGGAAATCACTCTGTAGAAATTGGCTCATTAAGAATTGAATCGTCATTTTGAAGCAGATTTCATCAAATTTGGCCATCAATGGGGCTCTTTAAAACAGGGAGAGGTTCAGAGTCGATGTGTAAAACTAAGACTGAAACCCAAGCTTTATTATTCCTCCTCTTGAGGACTATTTCCATGGTCTCTGGTTCTGGCCTTTGCAGGAAACACGGACCATAAGATTGGAAAAGTTTAGGGTTAATGAGTTCAGGGCCCCAGAGTGGTCTCCCATGTGTTTTTACATTACATTTGGCATCTCATGAGTAATTGGGCAGTAAACTGCTCCCTCTTTTTTATATAGCTATACATTAATTTGTCAAACAGATGAATTTGCATTATATGACAAGATGTAAGGGGCAGTGGCATGTCTCTGTGTTCGTCATCAGGGAATTCCCCCTTTCTTCTTTGGTTACTGGGGTTCTTTCATTGTCTGGGCTTGTGGCCTCCTTACAGAACCCCGTTTCAGTGGCTGGATATGCTATAGCTGAAGCCATCCTTTATACCTAGATTCCTGAGAGGCCTGTGCTTGAGACAGCACTTGGCTTTACTCACTCTTTAGCTCCTGTCACTGCTGTACCTAGTACTGAAGAGATCAGAACTTTTGTTATCTCCCAGAAAGTTCAAATTGACTTTTACACTGTTTAAACAGAACTCTTTTTTCCTTTTGCTATTTTCTCTCCGATTGTATTTAATTGTAAAGTTTTGTTGCTTATTATTTTTAAAATATAGTTTTTTGAAACTGGCTCCATAGTATATCTGTACAGTATTGTTTGTGGTATCAATCCTTTAATATTCCTTTTCAACAGCTGTGGCTTCATTACATATGTGTTTGTTAGCAGAGTAGGGCAGGGAAAGTCTAAAACTTGTCTGAAGCAGCATCAAGATTGTTATAATTAAAGAAATTGTCTCTCCAAGTGTATTTGGTTGTTATATTGGTCATTTTATTTTTAGATTACTGCTTTTCTGTTTTTTCTCCCTAATTTATATACTAAATGGATTTATTCCTTTTATGCAAAGTAAATAACACTCATCTCTACACTATGACCTGCTCAAATGCATTTAATTCATATGAGAATTCATTTTAAAAGTTGTAAGACTTTGGCAATTTTATTAAACTAATTCAGAAGGATTTAGAAGACAGCATGGATTATGATCCTTTTTTTTTCCTTTTTTTTACAGCTTAATCGAAATAGACAATTAGTTGCTCATATTTACAGTATACAATTCAATGAGTTTTTGCAATTATAATCGGCATATAATAATATATGAGTTTCAGTTGTATAGCATAGTGATTGGAGATCTATATGACTCACAGAATGATCATTCCAATAAATCCCTTAAATATTTATTACAATATTATTGACTATATTCCTTATGCTACACTTTATATCTCCATGACTATTTTGTAACCATCCATTTGTACTTCTTAATCCTTTTGCCCTTTTTCATTGAACCCCCAACTACCTCCCATCTAGTAACCCTCAAAATGTTCTCTGTATCTATGAGTTTGTTTCTGTTGTTGTTGTTGTTGTTGTTTATTTTGTTCTTTAGATTCCACATGTATGTGAAATCATATGACATTACTCCATTCAGCACAATACCGTCAGTTGTCACGCAATATCTTTTCATAATCCATTTTTCAATATGCCATTTTTGTGACCTTCAAAAGTCACTTTTTTTTTCATGCATAAACTGCTTAGGCTTGTTAGAAGATTTGAAATAGAAGGAACCCTAAAAGCAAGTACTGCAGGACAGTGATGTGTCTTTGAAGTACACTTATATCCTGAGAGACTATAGTCAGTTTTAAGTAGTGACTTCTACTTATAAAGGTTCTGAAATTGATTCTATAGTTTTTTTATTCTAATATTTTTAAGTTTAGAAAAACAATTTGGTAGAGAAAGATTTTTTAAAAAATAAGCAGGACTCATATACTTTATCAGTGATTTTGTATTTGTGAATATTTGTGTGTAATTAGCAAAGTATATTTCCAATGTTAGAGCTATCAAGTTTATTGAAACTTTAGTCAAGAAAAAGGTAATGGTGTTTTTTTTATAAATTCAGTACATAGGTATATTGGCTACAAATTATGCTTTCTTGAAAACTGTAGACTTATTTATGAACTTCAGAGTCAAATTTAAAAGTAACACAATTTTTAAAAAGATCTGTCAGAAATGGAAAAGTATACTGTGTTCTCAGTGTCACTCAAGGTAGTTCTAAATTTTCATTTAGTTCACAAGCGCCTTTGGTTTGAACATCGTTGATGCAAAAGAGGTTTGAAGATGATAGTACGTGATAAAAACAGGAATTTTATTTTTTTATCTTCTGATAAAATTAATATATGCACATTGTTTAAAAAAATTTGGACAATATTGAAAGATATGAAGAAGAGACTGAAAGTATTACCTCCAAATGTTACTACTGTTAACCTTTTGCGTACACCTTTCCAGTCTTTTTTTCAACCTGTATATGTGCGTATGTGTGTGTGCAATATTAAAATAACAGAATCATGTAATAAATGCTTTTTTTGGTAAACTGTGAATTTGACTTAGTAGGTATCTCTTAGGATAGTAAACATTATGTTTCAAAATTTTCACTAATATAAACAATCCCTTGAACATATTTCTATTAATATTCTTTGTATACTGATTCCATATTTTGTTCATGAAAGATTTCTAGGTATAGAGAAAGCAAGTAAATTTTTTTTTGATTCCCAGTGGCCCATTACCTTCTAGAAAAATTCTATATATTCATATTTCTAATAAAAGTATATGAAATAAGTTTCCCCCTATTTTTTGCTAACGCTATTATTATTTAGGTATTAGATTTTATAACATGGAATTACAGGTGATTTACTGTAATATGGGTAATTCATTATTACTTTACTTATAGTTCTCTGGGGTTACTCCTAATGTGGCTAAATGGAAATATATTAATTTTAATTTAATTTAATTTCAGAATGATATTCTGCCACTCTCAAACTCAGTGCCTGAAGATGTGGGAAAAGCTGATCAATTAAAAGATGAAGGTGAATATTTTATAGAAAAATTACTTATTTAGTAAAGCTTTCTGAAACTGAAGAAAATGACTCTTGTCAATCAATAAGATGCTGGTTCACACTGCCATGACTGGATTGTCATAATTTCATATGGCATTTGTGAAACAGAGATGAATGTGATAGGGAAGAAGCCTGAAAATATAGAACAACTTGTGGGTAATATAGGTGTTGGCTTGCTTCAAGAGCAGCAGATCTGTCATGCATAAAACTTGCAAAACAAGTAACTTAAGAGTGATGATTTGTAACTGTATTTGCCTTGTATACTCTAGGATCCCAAATTCTTTTTTATTCTTAATCAAAAGATGAAAATAATTTTCAGTATTATTTTAACTTTCATATATTTAGTGTTTTTGTGTTCTTTGAAATTTGTTAATGCATATATGTGTGGCATTTGACTTAAGTATTTATTAGCTAGCACATTTGGTTACTACATCATTAAAATTTCTAATAGTGACTATCGAAGCATTCTTAATTTTAATAAATAAGTTACTGTTGTGTGAAAACAAATGGCCATGGTAAATTGTCTAGCATAGGGTATGTCTGGGCTGCATGGTACACTTATCTGTGTTAATTAAGTCTTCTAGTCAACTAGTACCTTCCTGGAAGGTTGCTTTCAAATATTTTTTGTATGTTTTGCTTCTGAAGAGGTACAGTATGATCAGGTGAAACCAAGGAAGGGTCATCGTTGTTATTCCCTGACCCATAACAGAGGTATAGGCATATCTGATAGGATTGTTTTAATAATTAAGGGAGACAATTTTATAGGAGAGTACCATGTACTATAAAGTGCTGTATGATGCTCATATTTCTATAAATTTCTAAATATTAAATATTTTGTTAATTGAAGATTTTTCATCCATATAAATGTGTATATATATTATGTATGTAGACATTATGTATCTATACATTTGAGGTGATTTACAGGAAAAGACATACAATAGGTTTTAATAATAATAATAATAATAATAATAATAATAATAAAATGCCACGCCAAGACAAAATGACCCAAAGCAACAAGGAAATTCCAATAACCCAGAAAATGTAAATCTTTTTACATGGAAGAAGCAAATCTACTTAAGTACTTAGGCTAACGTACTTAACTAGGTGCTCAATCATAAAAGCTATGTAATCCTTTTAGTTGTCTCAGAATTTTTATATTCATTTCTTTTTGGGGGTGTGGAGAAAAATTAAAATTTTTAACTTTTAAAAAACAGACTTATTGAGCTATAATTCACACACCATGCAATTTACTCCTTTGAAGGATACAAATTCATTGGTTTCTAGCATATTCATAATTGTGCAGCCATCACCATAATTATAGAACATTTTTATTACTCCTAAAAGAAACTGTATTCATGAGCGGTTCCTCTTTGTATTCATTTCTGATTCTCAATTTGCAGTAACTTTTTATGATTTTAGATGCTTTTATCTACCTGCGTTTATTTTAATCTTCCTATTTCTGTTCCCTGCATCCTCTTTCTGTCATTAAGTAGCTAATGATCTGTTAAAAAATAAGACTAATAGGAGAGCTTCTGGTTTAGGGACAACTGGAAGGAATAATAGAGGCTTTTAAGTTGTAAATCCTTCCTCCTAATACTAGTGTTTTAAAATTTTTAATTTTTAACATTGGTTCTTAGAAGTGAGCAGGAAACTTTTTTCTGCTTAATGGAATACAAAAGATAGCCGCAAGAAATCCCTTATTTTCCTGAGCAGTTGTTAACCTCGTTAAATTATAGCAGTGTATCTGTAGATGCTCTTCTGGAAAATCAGTACCTTGTAGACTAGCCATGGTGTCCAAAACTCTGACTTTCTAGAAATTAATCTTTCATAATCTCCTTCTACAAAGAATCTATGTATAGAAGGGATAGCACATAAAAATATTACCTGTCAATAACATACAAGCATGAGTAGCTTTACCAGCTTACCTACACGGCAGAGTCCTGAGGGCTTGGTTGCTCAGCAGATGTATATTTTGACAGCGAAGGAGTGCAAGACCAAGTCCAGACTAAGGTGGTGATTACGGAGGGTGTTGCACTGGGATGGGGTGAGGCCACTCTAAAAGGAAGGAGATGAAAACAAAGAAGGTGAGAAGAGGTTAGATTTTGCCTTGAGATAATCACAATTGTGCATTTACTCCCTAATTGAAACCTGAATTTTATAAGATATACAGACATTAATTTTTTTAATACTCTGCATTGTTAAAGCACACTGAAGGCTAAGGAATATCAGCTCTATAGTACAATATCAAATTTATCTCCTCTGTGACTGAAAAATCATGTTGTTGACCTTTACATTACTATAGTTTCTGTGATTAAAATTTCTTTCAGACTTTATATTTTTCCTATATATTGTACTTACTATACTTACTGATTATTTTAGGAAATAACCACATGAAAGAAGAAAATTACGCTGCTGCAATAGATTGTTACACACAGGCAATAGAATTGGATCCAAATAATGCGGTTTATTATTGCAACAGGTAAACTGGCACTACTTGTGGCATTATTTGTTCTAAAACATTTGTATTAATAGCTCTGAAGAACTGTAAAATTGATTTATTTAGAGAGTTTTGAAAGTTCAGAAAAGTATAAAGAACAAAAACAATAATCTCATAAATTTACCACTAGAGGTACCCACTGTTACAAACCTTTTGGCATATTTTATTCGATGTAAGTGTAATTAATTTTAGATTCAGCTTTATTCACCAGGCATATCATAAACATATTTATCTTTTATTGAAATCCTTCATAAACATTATTTAAATTCATATTAATTAGTCTATTATTACTTCTTAATCTTTGTAATATTTCCAGCTTCTACCATTGTGGCTGGCAAACAAACAGTGTTTTTTTACTAAATGGATAGATGTACCTTAAGATACTTAACTGTTGACCCACTGGCAGACACTGAGGTTGTCCACTTTTTTTCAATATTATAAAGCTGCAATGAACATCTTTGTTTCTAAAATTATTTTCTAATTTTTTTTTTAGACTTAAGATTTGTCCTTGGAAATGCACTCAGGAGGTCTAAATATAAACATTTAGAAAATTGTTGATGCATATTGCAAATTTATTCGTTTCTTTGAAATATTTTGAAAATTAATTTCTTCTCTACGAGTGAGTGTATCTGTTTTTACCTGTTTTACACCCTTATCAGCACTAAGTACTTGAATTATTATTTATTATTGTTAATATTATTATTTTAATAGTAATTGTCCTAATTTATACTTAATTACTGGTGAAGTTGGACAAAAACGTTGGCCATTTGTGGTTTTTTTCCCCCCTAAATTATCTATTTGTACCTGTACTAGGCCTTACTTAGCCTGTTTGATCTTATACTATTTCTTTCTTTCCTTGTTCTGTCCTTTCTAACAGGGATCTGACCCCTAAAGGCTGCATTTTTCAGGCTCCCTTGTCGCCTGAGTTTTGCCTGGGTTCAGCCATGGGAGGTGCTGGCAGGAAGTTAGAGGGCAGAAAGAAGGGAGAAGCTGGGGTACTTCTTCCTTCCTTTTTATATCAGGGTATTTATCCAGCAGGGATTGCTTCTCATCCTTATCTCCAGCTCCCACCCAAGATACATGCTATGGTCCCAGATTTTGCCAGGTGATGTTGGGTTCTGGACTTCTCTGTTTTAGGGAGTAATGACTTCCTGCTAATCTCTGGATTGTTGCACAACCCGTTTGGCACCTCAGCTCTTCTATCAGCTGAATTAATGAATTCCCTGCACTAAATTATTGTTTTAAATATTAAAGTTCCAATACAACTGTCTGCCATGATGAAAATGTTCTGTATCTGAATTGTCCAGTACAGTAAACAGTAGCCACAGTGGCTGTTAAACATTTGAAATATGGCTAGTGCAATTGACAAACTAAATTTTTAATGTTTAATTAATTTAAGATCAATTTAAATTCATTAATTTAAATTTAAATAGCTGCATGTGTCTCATGGCTACTATACTGGACAGCATAGCTCTATATTAAAGATATAATCCTTTTGTCCTAATTGCACAGCTTATTGTTTGCCTTTTAATGTTTTTCATACATAAAAGTTCAAAATATTCGTATAGAAAAATCTGTTTTTTTTTAAAATTTTACTCCAGTATTTTTAGGCTTAAAGCGCTCCCCATTTATAGACTTGACATGCATAGACTTTTTCCTTTACATTTAAGTTTTATCATTTTAAGCCTATTTTGGTGACTGATATGAATATTTTAACCAATCTGAAGCTTTTTATAACAGAGCCTTATAAAAATGACCTTCTATTATATAACAAGTTGTTAGATTTGAAAGAGAACTTTAAGTTAGTTTGGTCTAATCTTTCATAGAGCTATTCTTATCGTATTTAGGGTATTTATACTCTTCTGAGATAATCCCTTCTTCCTGTACCTTTCTTTTGTGGTTTTATATGTTAGAACAGTCTTCGTTATATTCACACTGAATTTCCTGTAGCTTCTCTCTGTTAGCTTTATTTTTATTCTGAAGAGCAATTATAGAATATGCATGTTTCCTCTTTTTTTTTTTTTATCACAGTATCTGACATTTTGAAGTTTTCTTCTACATTCCTTTGAGTTCCTATCTCCGTGTTAAATTTTTATGGCTTTTTCAGTTATGTCTCAGATAGTGCAGCTTTAAGTCTTGCACTTTTGCTTTTAACTTGTTCCAGTTCACCTGTATCTATTACTGTGTACTTCCTAGAAGTTAACACAGCATATCTGGCATTGGTCTGAACAAAAGTCTTGTAGGGCTCTCATTTAACCTACTCCGAGATAACATAATTTGTAGCATAATTTAGTAAATTCGTATTTTGCTTTTGGTTTTTTAAAACTCGTCTTTGTTTTTCACACATTCTTAGTATCCTATCATTCAATCATACATTCATTTGACAGTTTCTTGCCAAACACCTGCTATGTACCAGTGTTGTCACTGGAGGTAAACTTGGTTGTCTGAATTCAAAGGCAGGATCTCCTATCTTATCCTTGTAGAATTTTATCTTGCTACAGTCTCTCACTTATATGCCTCTTAATCTCTTTGGAATTTGTAAAGGAATGTGTTTGCTTTTGCCATCCACAGCCTTGATAAGACTGCTATTACATTATGTCAATTATGAAGTCAACTGAGGGAGCAATCATAGGGAAGTAGTTAAGAGCTGGGTTCTTTGGATTCTAATTTCTGGCTCTGCCACTCACTACCTATGTGACCTTGAGCAGATTACATATCAATACTTCAGTTTCCTTATTGGTAAAATGTGGATAATAGTATTTACCTGATAGGATTGTTGTAGAGATAAAATACTTAATACAAATAAAGTACTAGGAAAGTGTCTAGTAAGGAATGTTGTATACTGCAGTAGCTATTACTATTATTATTTGCAATCTGATGTTTTTTTTTTTTTTTTTTTTGGCTTTGATCAGAATATAAAGAGAATCCAAATTATTGGGTCCAAATATGTTGTCAATTGTCTTTCTCTGATGTACCAGACTGGTGGGGTAATCCTATTAAAATATAAAGGAAATTATGTTAGTTTGATAGGACTTGTTCTGAATTAATTTGGTGTTATTTTCCTTTTTTTATTTGTCTGTAACATTTTTAATGAAAATTTTCAAAATTGAAGTTTACAGTGAATACTCATACTCATACATAGATTTTGCCATTAATATTTTAATACATTTGCTATATCCCATATTTATTCATCTTTCTGTGCCTTTCTGTTCATTATTCATTGTATTTTTGATGCATTTCAAGGTAAATTGCAGCCATCAGTACACTTTCACCCTAAATACTTTAGCATGCAAATCATTAGAGTTCAAAATTTTACATTTTTTTCTTTTGAGATAAAATTTATATGCAGTAAACTGCACAAATCTTAACTACTTTTACTGAGTTTTACAAATGCGTACACCCATGTACCTCAAAACCCCTAGCAAGATATTGACCAGGAGGGGTCAATTGTCTATCTTTAGAGTCAATTGTCTAAAACACTTATCAGAGGCAACCATTGTTTTTTTTTTTTTCTCACCATAGATTGTTTGTTCTCATTTAGAATTTCATATAAAAGGAATCATACAATATGTACTCTTTTGTGTGAGACTTTTTTGCTCAGCATAATGGTTTTGAGATTAAGCCATGTTGTTGCATGTATCAGTGGTGGTTCTTTTTTTTTTTTATTGCTCAGTAGTATTTTATTATTTGAATGTACCACAGTTTGCTTAGCCATTTCCTATTCATGGTCACCTGGGCTGATTTTAGTTATTCTTTTTTGTTTTGTTTTGTTTTATTAATTTATAGTTATCATTTGTATAAGAGTTGGATTCATATGGATTTAGTTGGCCATACTGGAAAACTACATTTTCTTTCTTCACAAAAAATTCCCTTTATTAATCCAGTCTAAAAATCTAGCACACAAAAATAGAAAAATCCATATAATTTGGAGAGAATGAATTCCCCAAGCTGTGGTTTTATTTGATTTATTTAATGTAATTAGATGAATATGTATAACGTTTTAATTTAGCATATGAAATATTGAAATACATTTAATAGTGTCACAAAATGTTATGACCAGATAAAATTTTACCCCCAAATTGCTTATTTGTAAAGAACAATAAATCATACACCTTTAACTATGAGTTTGGTAAATCTGAGCTTATATAAAGTAGTTATTTTTAATGAGATTAAGGTTCATTAATAAGGTTCATTAATAATAAGTCTATTAGTACTATATTAGAAGAGATTCTTGGAAATAATATATGCTTGCTTTTCACTTAATTATTATTAAGAAATAAATAATTATACATCTCTTTTGCATTTAAATAGTATCTTTTTCCCTGAGTTCAGTAACAGAGCATGCATTTAATATTAAATAATTAGAAAACTTTATTTGTATATTTGATATACATTATTTCTTTTAGGCTCTAGCTATAAACATCTCAGTAGCCTGTAATCTTGCCAACTAGCCCTTGTTATTTTTCTTAGCCAGTTGGCTGCCAAGAGTTGGAAGCTCACACTTGCAAATCTAAATCTTCCTTTTGATATTAATTTTTATAGTTTTATTACTAATCAAAATATTGTTCAACTTAAACTCACTAGGATGAACCAAAGTTTTTTATAGAAGTCACTTTTTTATATGTTAGGAAATGATCAGTTGGCACATTTCTTAAGCATGAGTCTTTCTCTTCTAGTGTTTATCTTCTATTTTGGATCCTAATGATGTTTTAGACTCAGCTTAGGCACTAGGAAAACCTAAGTCTTTCCTTGAAAACCTGTTATTTATTTTTGCTTTTTTCTATACCCCTAGCACTTACCACGATTTGTAACATTTATATAAGTTATCATATATTCTGCCTTATCTTATAGTTAAAGGCATACTTATTTTATTTCTTCAGGTAAAGGGCCGAAATTGGATCTCATTCTATTTGTATATAGAATCCATTACTATTACTATAGTACCTATAGCACTATGCCTCACAGGAGTTCACCCAATTTTT